TATCTAATCTTTTTTAACACATTATTCTCGTTTATGTATAAATGCACAAGAGCACCAACAAATATATACATGCTCACATACATGAACACACATATATATAAATCTGCATATGATTAAACACACATAGTCACGCATACATGCACGCACACAAAAAGGCAGTCACGCGAATATATGTATAAATATAGTCATGCAACCTAATGTGGATATGTTTTGTTTTGTTTTGTTTTAAACAGAAAATGATGACAGGGTGATATTCAGTATGATAAAGAGTTGCTAAAACCTTTCTGTCTACAACATATGTTTTCTAACTCTGTAGAAAATGAGCTGTTATCAAATTTCAACTGGACATTGCCTGTTCTATGTTCCATCGTTTGGATGTGAAAGGATGACACGCCAATTGAAGTATCTTCTGCAATAAGACGAAGAGAATATTCTACATCGTTGATGGAAATTTTAAGCAAAAATAAGAAGGACCTAAGACTGAGCCCTGTGGGACACCAGCTTTAGTAAATTTAACCGATGACAAGCTCACATCTACAAATACCTTTAGTCTCCCATCTCTTATATACTCTTCCAACCATAGTACGAATAGTTTACCCGTTATACCATATATTTCAAGTTTATGAAAGAGTCCTTAGTGATACAGTACGGAAATATCCCTGGTTATCAACAGGTGAGACAATGTCATTGTATACTTCAATCAATTGGAAGGCAGTAGAGTGTCCTAGTAAAAAACCAGACAGATTTATGCAATAGGTTATTCATAATAGATATACTAAGCAGCAAAAGAAACGTCAGTTTGGAATTTCCCTTCGCAGAAACGGATAACTGTAAACTCATTTAATGTTTTTGTATTTTTTTGACAACATCTCCAACCTTACCTGAGCAAAGACATTCCTTCCCCAGAATGGAACCCAGGAAATGGTCTCAAAAACTGCAACCTGATCTCGGAGATGGTACGGTGTTCTCCATGTTTTTCATGCATCTCATGCTGCACGTGCTTTTCACAAGGATCAGTCCTATAAAATGCACCCCAAAACCTGGTTGAAACATTCACATTATGTACAACGTCAGCAGGATGCCGCCGCGACTCACGACAGCTGAGAGGAAGACTTGAAAACTAGGCGCTAGGAAGACTTGAAGCTGGCCACACTGCACAAGCCGTTGCCAATCACTTCCAGGTCAACGTTCGGGCCATCTGCAGACTGCAGCAACGTTTCCAGGCCACCAACACTACAAATGATCGCTCCCGTACTGGCAGACCAAGGGTGACCACAAGAAGACAAGACCGCCATGTTGTGCGACAGCATGTACAGAATCCCTTCATGCAGGCATCCGAAACAGCACGCCAGACAGTGGGAACACACGGAAGACCAATCAGTACTGATACAGTACGCCGACGTCTTAACAGCGGGAACCTCCAATGCCGTAGACCTTACCGTGGACCTATCCTCACCCCTCGTCATCGGCGTGAACGTCTACAGTTTGCCTTATAACACCAAACTCGCGCTACAGGCAATGGAGAACTGTTCTGTTCACAGATGAGAGTCGGTACTGCGTATCAACTGCAGATGGCAGAACAAGAATATTGCGACGACGTGGCCAGCGTTACTCGGACCAATGTGTTATGGAAAGAGACTCATGGGGAGGTGCAAGCATTATGGTATGGGGTGGAATAGGCCTGAACCAGAGAGTGGGTCCTGTGGTGTTCCAGAACCTTGGTCCAGGGAGAGGAGGCGGAATCACAGCTGTGCGCTACATCGACCAAGCTCTCAGACCCCCGTCTTACCACATTTCGCACGTCACCGGAACAACATTTTCCAGCTTGACAACTCCCGGGCCCATACTGCCGGAGCTACACGGGACTTCCTACAGCAGAATGATGTCAACATTATGCAGTGACCAGCCCTTGCCCCTTAGTCCTGATTTAAACCAAATTGAACATCTTTGGGATGACATTCAGATGAGACTGAATAACCGCCGATTTATTGCGCCAGGCCTTTCTCAGAGTGTGGTTCCAAGTTCCAATGGCCTTCATCAATCGATTGGTGCACTCCATGCATAGACGCTGTGCTGAAGTTATTGCCGCTCGTGGTGGTCACACTAGATACTGAAGTCAAGAGTTTGAATGGACAGCAAACGTTCATGTAATGTCTTGGAATTGTGCTGAGTTATTCATTGATGTGTTAGGATAGTGTACACAAAAAATGTTTTTGATCCGCTTATTATGTCTATTTCTGTAATGATTTGATTACAGTGCCTATCTAATTTTTTATTCGTACTGACTTTGTTTTGCTGCTGAGTATAGTTATATCGGGGTTTAAAGACGTCTCTGGTATTTTCCTAATGATTAGACCGCGAACTGCTCGCTACAAAATGTGTGCAGTGCAAGGACCCTGCTGCTTGAAGGCAAAGAAAAGTAATTTGAGTTGTTTTGCTTCACAGTAAGGGTCAGTTATGATATCTCGTACCAAACAATATTCTGTAGTTGATTCACAATTGATAAATGATACTAGCAATTGAACGTGAAACCTTCAGTCGACCAGCAGAGACAAACAGACTGTTCAAATAAATGTAATCGAGTTTCGGCATTATGCACAAATTCCTTGTCATGTACAGTTAGAACGTGTTCTGCAGATCTGTTAATATGAAACTGCGTGGGAGGCTCCGTCCTTTTCATTTCCGTCATTAACCATACATAAATTAGATTGTTTACTTTACCATTCACAGTTTATAATTACTATATTCTTTTCGGTGTTCACTGGAACAGAAAGAATACAACCTGTTAATGCTTCAGGGCTGTACATAGATACGCATGTAGCTGTAGCATGTAGCTGTATTCGTCACCAACCCAGCTCACAGTCGCTCAGCACATTGTTCCTGGGTAAGTCAGATTGCTACTGTTCCTGTTGAAACATATCCACACTGTTACATTGTACATTAAAAACCCTGTTCTGACATCCTTTTAGATTTCAAACTATGCTCAGGTTACTGTTAAATAATGAAATTATATATATGTTCTATAACGAAACACAAAGAAAACACATAATTAACTTTAACGCGAAATCAGAACAGATTTGTTTTTTGCTCCAATCATATTGAATGGGATTCGAACCCGTAAGAGGAATTTGTTGTGTTTGCTTACCTTATGTCTAAACCCGAAAACCTCATATGGTCATAACACTCCTAACTGTTTTCACGTAATCAGGCTATTTTTGTATAGATAGCTAATATCTGAACACAAGGAAAGGTTTGTATTGAGTAGCTTGAATTTAATATTGATTTCATTACATCACGTATACCTTGTTTGAACGAGTCTAAACCATAGTATAGTCCAATAATAACAACATGGCGGTTCCTTGTTATAATTAAGTCTATAATGAATTTCCGATTTTGACATTTCAACTTGAGGTTAATTCGTAATGGCGGGTGCTGGTATGAGAACCAACTTCTCCAAGAAGAGGAATATAGTCAAAGTCAAGCCAGGGTGATGCTTTAAGTCCTTTGATTTTCTGTTTGTCACTAGATCCATTGATTATTTGCTTGAGACAGATTAAGGTAAACATCCTCGACCTCAACACAGATACAAGCACCTCTTACCCACCTTCCTTTTGACACTTTGATTGCCAATTTTAAATTGACAAATACGTGGACTTCGTTTAAGAAATGTAAATGCATCGAAAGTACAACGTTGCTCAATTCCCCATTGTGTTTGGTGCTTTAGGTTTGGTAGCTCAATCTCTTGACGGACTGTGGGACAGTACCGGGGTTAGCTGCCAGGAACCCATCCCTCCTTACAATCAGGGTGATGCAGTGTTGGCGAGTCTTAACATTCCCCGTTCTTGTTCCTGTTGGGTTACCTAGACTGCGCTCCCTGGGAGTAGTCCCATTGGACCAGGCATGATAAGCCTAAACTGTGCACTGTCACTCGAACTCTCTTTGCCGCATTTATATATTTTCAGATCAGTAAATACTGCTACTAATAAATAATATCAACAATAAAAGCAAAAAGCCCTTACATATCCGACCAACTTGTTTGCAGAAATAATAGCGCTAACCTTCCCATAACATATTTTGCTACAGGTGGCAAAGCTTATATAGCAAATGTGTTATATATCTACAGAAATAATTTTATCTTGATGCAATATAATATTATAGCTTTCATTTCAGCAAACTGAGTTTGCATGACTAGCTTTAGTGTGTTACGGGATTTGCAAGATGTTTAGAGCAGCGTGATTAAAGAGACCGAATATATTCAGCAAACGAATTCTAAAAGCTAAACCCTTAATTAGCTACAATGAACATCTCCATGGCGTAATGAAGTTTTAATTGTGACATAGTAACCTACCGACCAAATGATTCTCTCTGGTTTAAATGTTAAAGGTGAAACTTTAACTTTAGGTTAAACTCGTTGTTGGTTAGAAACAGGAGATTAGCCAATATCAGGTAATGACATGGTTTAGTTAAATAAAAAAATATAAATTGCGTTTAGATGTATACTTGGAATGAATTTTGGTTCAGATGGTCAAAGCTTGGGGACCTTGTAGTTTCATGTTGTAGTGTTTGGCATGTGCTTGGATATCTCGAACATGTATCGTGCAATTAAAGACGAATGAGTCACATATCAGTTTATGCAAATGTATGACTTCACAGTGATAGATCATCATCAGGACAGAATCTTTAAACTTGTTACAGAAACAACAACAACAACAACAACAACAACAACAACAACAATTTATATGAAACTTCAACAATCACAATCTGAGCATATGAAGCAATACATGAATGTACTTAATATTTGATTTCTATGTTTTCTATGTTTTCTGATTCCTCATCACCCCACGATGACCATCAATGGCTGGGTGTCTTCCATACATACTTACAGCGCTGAAGACTCCATAACGCTGCGTATTGCCACAAGTTTTCTGCGTATTTTGTATCATGTTCGTTCTTTGGAGACTTCTTGCTGGTTGCTTATTTTTTTATATTTCGAATATGCAGTATTGAAAGCGGCATGGCGGAAGTGGAATCTAAGCTCACTTACGACTCCTACTTGAAGGTGAATATTGTAGTTACTTTCATTTTTGATATTTTTATGTTAAATCAAGATATATTATATCAAAGTATAAAAATAGACGTCCCAATGCTTGCAAGAAACACCCATCTTCGCCGGCTTGCAAAGAACATGGGCTGGATGCAAATTCTAAACGTACCAAGTGTGTAGTGACCGCCCATTAAAATTACTACACAAACCCAATAACAGTATGCTCTGTATGCCTGTCTGGATACGCTGGGAAATATAGAAATCAAAGTATGTCTGCAACATTACTTTCGGATGAATTATTCTCAAAATATTCGGCATTTTCGTCAAATTCATACGTACCAATTTTTTTATATTAAAGAAAAGATTTAGCCGCTTTTAGCAATGTGTCATCAATATCACGCTCAGGACACCAGAAAGGGGCCTCTATTTGATAAACTGAAGAAAAATTCTTAACCATTGAAACATACTGTCATCCTCGATAATCTCCAGGGTATACGTTACGATCACTCTCCACTATACCCTGGATGCATCCACGGCTTGGCCAGATGATTTTATTACCTCCCTTGGGTGGCTTTTTATCCAATCAGGTGTCTGCGCTAGGAAGTTGAGCGAACCAATCACAACTCACTTTCGCTTCTTAAATTATCTAACCGTTTAAACTTGGCAACACAATTGATGCAGAGGGTACTCTGAAAGATGTGGAAGGAGTTCTTTTATATATTTTTGAAAGTTTCAGATCTGTCAATTTGTCTGTATTATTTCTCAAAAACTCTGAGTGGCACTGCAAACAAACCTTCGCGACTGCGACCGCTATCTTTGTTGACACTGGCAAGCTCGGATGTAACGGCGGCTTAGCTGATTGGCTACTGTAAGAATGCAGAGCCAGCAAAGGGAGGTAATATAATCATTGGGCCAAGCCGTGGATGCATCCAGGGTATAGTGGAGAGTGATCGTAACGTATACCCTGGAGATTATCGAGGATGACATACTGTATGCTTCCTTGCAGATTTCAGACCTACTATCCTGCCAGGCTCCACACACAGATGTCCACGATGAACACCTGTTCATCATCGTTCATCAAGGTATATGGGCTCCCATTTGATCATTTCTTTCTTCTAGATTCCATAAAAGAGATTATTCTTTAACTTCAGAATTATGATAAGAATAATTATTGATTTAAACTGACAAGCAAAAGAAAGCACACTCGTGGATAGCCTTACAAACGCTATCAAAGCGTTAGTAGGCTGAAAACATTGACCCAAAAAGCAAACCTCAGCTCTTAAAACAACTGTAATACTGGTATCAGATACATTACCGACTAACCATTTCTTGTTCCTTTTAAAACTCCTTGAGAGTATGTATAACCGCCTCCGTGGTGTAGTGGTTAGAGCGTCCGCCCGGAGAGCGGAAGGTCGCGAGTTCGTCCGCCCGGAGGTACTGGTCGGCTCGGAGTCAGTATAATGTGTCTGAGTAGGGTATTCATGCTTCACTGCGGCATGGTATCTCAGTGGGCTAGCACTATAAAACCAGCTTCAGTCTGGGCTAGTACAAGCAGCCGCACATACACATACACACGCATGCACGTCGTCATATGAGCAAGCACGTCAAGCACGACGATAAACCCAATTTCACCTCACCTCACCTTGAGTGTATATGGCATTCTGTAGTTTGTGTGATTTCAGTCTTCGAATTATGGTTCAATCTAATCATCCATGACATCACGTCGGTCAGGAATACATTTCACGGCAAGGTACGATATATTTCATCAATTTAGGATCTGTGAAGTCATTGTTGTTTAACTGAATGGACATGTTTTTAATGAATGGACAATTGTCAAGTACGTTCTCTTGTATCAGGAGCGCTAGGGACCTATATGTTAGTCTCATGAGCAGATTTCATGGATCATACGCATGTGGTCTGGCTCGGTGAATTTCTTAATGCATGTCATCGTATCCCAATTGAGTAAATGTCAATCACTGGATTGTCTGGTCCAGACTCCGGCATTTACAGGAGGTGTCATATTGCGGAGTATTGCTGAGTGGGTCTTTAAACAATAGTGAGTATGAGTTTACGCCGACTTCAGCTATATTCCAGCAATATCACGGCGAGGGACACCTGCTTCACACATTGTATCCATGTGGGGAATCGAACCCGGGTCTGCAGCGTGACGAGCGGACGCTTTAACGATTAGGCTATCCCACCGCCCTTCAAACAATAACAACACAACGACATGCGTATACATAACGAAGAATTCTTCGTCGTTTGTACATGATTGTATATTTAAATTATTTGAATCACCAATTAATTCTTATGTTTTAGGACTGGGGAAATGTCGTCTTACACAGTTCCATCAACCGCCTGCAGAGAGTAGCAATGGTGCTACGGGTGAGGCAATGTGGACACAATCTTTGGTTAAATTCAGCCTCATCTGTCTTTTTTAGCCCAGGTTCTAAAAGGAAATTGACGAGAATGACTTGCCGACGGGAAAGTCTCTGCTCATTATCACAAAACATGGTGAACTTTTCGTTCGTTTCGGTCGTTGTAAAACTAAATACATACATGCATAGTCTAGTAAAATTTCTAAGCAATTTGGATCTAAAGGATGCATGAGGCATTTTTTGAGTAAAAGCAAGCAAACAACATTTTCTAGGGTAGTTTTTCGTGCTGAATACGAATCTGTTGTTTGCTAAGCTCAAAAATGCCTAATTAGGTCACAAATTGGGGTCAAAGGTCAATGAGTGCAAAATTCAAATTTTTTTAAGAAGTGTTTTATTTAGTATTTTCCATCCCATGAACTCATTTTACAATATATTGATTAATAATGTTACCACAGGATTTCAAAATGTTGGATTTCATAGAAATGCTGAAGGAAAAGTTCGTATTTTTGCAAATATTTTCCTTATGGAGCGATTTTTAGTTTTTGCGTGAAGAGCTACTTTCTACAGGCATTTTTGCTAAAAAAATGCAAAGCAAGGCTGAATCTTTTCCTTTGTTGACAGAATTGTATTCCAGGCACACTGTTTAGATCACAAAATTTGCATATTAAGCGCATAATTACTTCAAAGGTTAATGAGTGTGACAGGATGCGATAGGCGTTTTTACATGTATGCCGCACGAATGCTTTTATACTGCTTCACATGCATGTCAAATGAAACTGCTGATTTATAAATCCTGAAATTCAACGTGATTGGCAAGATTCAGGAAAAGCATGCTTAATATGCGTTCCTTGCCTTTGAAATGTCTCCCTTGCATCCCAAGTACACTGTCGTCAGGCTCCCCTTTTTTTTGGTTTGGTACCTCCTGATCTCTTGGCGCAGATAAGGAAAGTGCCCGGGTTTTCTCTACCGGGGGCAGAACCCTTCTGACACTGTGGGTAATGCAGAAGGATGCAGTGTTGGGGAGTCTACATATTCTCCGGAAAGTTCGGTTGGTTCGACTAGGCAGCGTTTCCTGGGAGAAGTCCCATTTGCTGGGCTGCGTATAGAGGGGGCAAGGGCCCTCCGAGCTGATGATAAGCGTTACTAGCCTGACTGTGCCAGGATCACCCCAACGCTCTTTGCTGATTTTTTTTATCTTAATTTATAAAAACATAATAATAATAATAATGTCCGCTTGTTTCGAAACGTACAAGTACAATCAACTCGCGTGGGAGGACATGAATACATTATTACCTGATCAAGGAGCATGAAAACACTGACATCATGTATGTTCTTCAGCATGTCTTTTGCATGTATTCCAGTTGGCTGTGGAGCAGTTCCACATCCTGGAGACGATGCCGTCTCTAAACTTTGCGGACTTCAGGTTAGTATGTAATGTGTCCAATCATTTCCACCCGAATTATACTCTGGGAATGACCTGCTATATTGCTGATTTATACACCGGGGACGATCTGTTGTGTAGCTGAGATTATAATCCACGGACAAGCTGTTATACTGATATATTGCCTTTATTATGTTCCAGAGACAAGATGATCGGGCGTTCGGGGTTCCAGAGTCTCCAGTTTCGAAAGATCGAGAAGCTTCTTGGAATCAAGGACGTAAGAAATACAATCCTGGTCACCAACAGAAATAATAACATGGCCGTGTATCTTACTGTGTCAGAGACACACTGGTGGTGACAGGCTCCCCAGACATCTTTATGGATATTATCATGTTGGAGGAAAATTAATTCATTTATTGTTCTGGTTCTATTTGGTGTCGAACAATTTAGAAATGTCACAATTCTATCTATGTCAATTTTGTTAAGGAGAAGCGTCATAAATATGGAGGACAGCGTTACGTGGACAAGATGAAGACAGAGGATAAGGATGTTCTCCAGAAGTACCCAGACCAAGTTGATGGGGGTACACTCCTGGATGTTCTTCAAGTACGAGTCTAAAGTTATACCCTTTGAACAAATTTGTGAAATATTAACTATTATATATTAGAGAGGAAACTGAACCATATTTCCTACTGTGTCAAACACCATGGTAGTGAGCGAGAAAGCAACACAAATATAAGTATAAGCAGCTACACGTCAATGTATACACACATGAAGATCAGGTGTTCAGCAACCCATCCCATTCTCGAGAGGCGACCAGTACGATCAGGTATGCCTCGTGGACTTTGTTGGTGGCATAGTATCCCAGATGCGTAGATCGATGTTCATAGTGTAAATCACTGGATTGCCCGGTTCTGACATGAATTTATGGTAAAATGTGTTAAAGAAACAAAGAAACATGTCCATATAGAAACCGCAGGGCGAGGAATGCATGCTATTTTAAATGACTTCGTGGTATGCAGATGTTCTGATTTGATACAGGTGTGGCTTGAATCTACCCCTGGAATAGACGACAGGCAGTTCTGGGACAAGTATGATAAAAACGAGGTGAACTGGGGTTTTTTTTACATATCATGAAACGGCATACAAGAGGATCCATTTTGTCCTTTAAAACAGAATGTACAGAATAATTTATGGCTTGAATGCACAGGAAACTGCTCAACATCCCACTTTTGAGGCTTTGTTAATATTAACACATACACATACGTGATACACAGATATGTGTGTGTGCGTGCGTGTGTGCGTGCGTGCGCGTGTCCTTTTGCGTGTGGTCTCTTCAGGTTATTGAAAGCTTTTCCCGTACTTTAACATAGTATTCTAATGGCGACGTTTTCATTTTGCACAGAAGGTGGACCTGAGTCCTCTGCTTCATCTCTCAAAATATAAGGAAGGTAAAAAGCTCATTTATTCCTTATAAAACATAGCGTATATACTTACCCCAAATGTAAACCAGTGTGACATATTAAACGTCATTGTCTATGCAAACATCATTACTGTGACATCATCAACAGGTTTCATTGTTTCTGTGTGCCCATGAATAACAAACAAATCTTATTCAGCCTTCCAAAGTTCAGGGGAGGTTGTTCAAAATGGGAACGAATATCATCTGAAGTTTACCGAAAATAATATGTGAAACACCGGATTTCTTCATAAAAGAATCCCCCTGAAATTTGTAGGATAGGACATTGAGGCATGAAATAGCGAACCAGTTTTGTTCTTCTTTGTCATCTGTTCCTGTACATACATGAGTCAGAATTCTGTTGAGATCAGCAAAATCAAACCACGGGAATCTGGCAAAGACGTTTAACTGAAGCTTCAGTTGGTGATTTGATATATTGATGGTAAAATGACCAATTCCCAATGAATAATTCCACTGATTTACAAACCTGAAATAGAAATAAAATCGCCCCGGGAAGGAGTCTCCTCTGTTTATTGTCTGTTTTGTTCTATTCTGAGTTACATCAAGACCTCTCCACCACATTTTGTGACAAAAGAGATGACTCATATTTAGCTAACTTCTTGACTTGCTCAAAAGTTGTTTGATCAGGCTGGTATCAGATTCTCAGGGATCAACTCCTCAACTCCTCAACTGCTATTTCTTCTTTTACGATTCCGTCTTGGAACCGGTTTATCTGGATAATCGAGGCTTGGAGGTGTCGATTCATTTACCATGATGTTATAACAGGTCCCTGGCAAATGAGTCAACGGTCGCTGCAAGGAGCTCTTCTCATCATGCTGCACCAGGACAAACCTGAGTTCCAGCTGCCGTACCAGCTCCTCACACTGCTGATGGACATAGATGTCGCCCTCATGAAGTGGCGGAGTATGTACCAACATATATATGCACATGTTTTTCGACCACGCATGTCTGACAACATGGTACCACTAGCGTCCACTCTGAAATATGGTACCGCTGCTCGGCGACTTCAAAGGGACAATTATGGACAAAACGGTTCAGATATACTCAGTACTCCATGTTTAACTGAGGCATGCTATCTTAGTTTACTAGCTCTGTAAACCCGACAATAGTCCGGTCTACTACACATTCGCTGATCATGCTAAAAGGCCCGGGTTCAAATCCCAACATGGATACAATGTTGAAGCCCATTTCTGGTGTTCCCCGTCTTGATATTGATCAAATGTTGCTAAAAACAGCGTAAACCAACAAACTCACTTCCAATCAATATGACATATTGAGGACCCAGAGCAAGGCAAATATAATGGCCCTCACATCATATCATAACAGTATGAGTTATGATAACTTAAGTTACTAATTATGGTAATGTTTTATATGAAACGTTTCTCTTTATTTGTTTATGTGAATATTGGCAACCCCAATGGTTTCTGGTGATATGGTTAACTCTTATTGTGTTTCAATCACCGAATCCGTTTTGTCAGCCTTCTGATTTCATTTGGGGCGATGGGGTAGCCTAGTGGTTAAAGCGTTCGCTCGTCACGCTGAAGGCCCGGGTTCGATTCCCAACATGGGTACAATGTGTTAAGCCCATTTCTGGTGTCCCCCGCCGTGATATTGCTGGAATATTGCTAAAAGCGGCGTAAAACCATACTCACTCACTCACTCTGATTTCATTTATCCCACACAGGTACCCACATCCAGATGGTACACAGGATGATAGGCCAGAAGCAGGGCACTGGGGGCACTTCCGGCTACGAATACTTACGAGCTACCTACAGGTGCGTCTACATCAGTCACTGATAAACCATACGAAAGCACAAAATTCTAATCTTAAATCACTGCAGATATTAATACGATCCACAAACACAAACGCGATTGTAAGAGAGTCTTGTCGCCTATATTTGTGGCATTATTAAGGAGAAGTTACAACCGAATATGCGTGCAATTGTTACAAACATGAGTCATCATCCTCAGAAGCGATTTGAACAGTTTATGTGGCGTTAAAGTGATCCTTTAATAATTACGACCTAATTAATTTTTCCAAGTATATAATCATAATTTTGCATAATGTCATCCGACGTTTTACTTTACAAACATCAGCTTCTTAGTCTTCGCTCAAACCAGTCCAACTCATGTTAATTCAGGGCGAGTCTTCTTGCAGGTTAGAGGCGAGAGGTGACAAATGACCTCGAACATATATTTATATATTTTATGTGATTGCAGTGACGATTACAAGGCTTTTGGTGACATCTTCAAGATGGCAACATACTTACGGCCTCGAGTGGAAATTCCCGAACTTGACACCCAACATGACTGAACCTGGCATCTGATGGCCAGCCTCTAAGACGTCTTCCCTGACATGCATAAATGCACATATACCCATGTATACGTACCCAAATATTTACAGCTTGGATTCAATTATATTCTTGAGCAAAACGTGCTAAAACATGTTTGGATGTAAACAATATGCTTAACATTACATTGGAAATTTTAAAAATTATATCAACACACTATCAACTGCAATCTTTCTATGACTGATATTGAGACCCTGTGTTAGAGAATTATATAAAAATATATCTGTAAGATAATAAAATATATCAAATATTGTCAATTTTGTTGTTTGGAGTGTGTGCGTGAGTTTAGTTTTACGCCGCACTTAGCAATATTCCAGCTGTATGGCGAGGTCTGTAAATAATCGAGTCTCGACCAGACAAACCAGTGATCAACAGCATGAGCATCGATCTATGCAATTGCGATATGATGGGTTTACTGAAGGTCAACTCTCACCCGGATCTTCACGGGTCTGTTGTTTGGAAGGGGTGGGGTAGAAGTGAAAAAAAACCCACCTGGTCCTTACTGTCCACAGAAACGGAAAATCAGTAACGAAAATGTGCCTGAAAGTCGAAGTAATTTTTGCCTGACGCTGCACAGAAGTAAATGCGGTCTGTAAACAAACCAGACGTACAAAAACGAATGTAAAATGTGAAAAAATAGCAAAACGTTCTCCGTGTGTTCAGTAATTTTTTAGCATAAGAATATTTTAAGGTAATGAGATATAAGGACAAAATTAACCCTTGACGTAAAATGTATTTTCTATATTAAAGTTTGTAGATATGGTAACAATGCAGTCTCTTTGTGATGAACAGAGATTTATTCACATATCATGACAGGCATATTATTTAATGTCAAAAACACATCTTAGATTTGCATCCTAACGTCCAAACATTTAATAGCATCTCACGGTTGTCCCAGTTAAATTTGACTCCATAAGCATTGATTGGATTTATGATGAATGTACATGTATATAAATACGGATCTATATTTTCAAACTATGTATTAAAATAAAGGTAAATGTTCAGTAAGTTTCGGAAAAGTGCGAAGTATGACATGACAAAACTACGCATTGTTAGATACAATCATGATAAATTACCAACCAGGGTTGATGAAGGGAAGCTTGAACTGTCTGTGGTTTGGAGCCATGTGTCTTCTGGTACAAAGTCAGTGGAGCTCTCTTGCAGCTGAGAGAATCATAGAATCGCATAGTCATCATGCGAGTTATTTAGGCATAACCGTGACGAACTTCACCAGTAGTAGAGAGGTCTTCATGATTACCACTGTTGCAGGTTTTCTTGTCATGCGTTTTCCTAATCGTCATTCCAGCTACCCACATTGTTCATAAACTATGGAGGAATCGATTCCTTCATCGCAAGTCGAACATAAAAGTAGCCTTGTTCTTTTTATCCAAGTTTCACCTGTTTACTTTGCTTTCCCTTTACCATGTGTGTTAGATCCCACACGGAACCTGCTCTCTTGTGGTAATAAAGACGTTGTTCAACCATATATCTTATCCTTATCCACTAGCACACGCAAGGTCAGGTCAACTGTTCATTTGACGAAACACGGGAAGAAGTGAAATTTACTACCTTTTAACAGAAGCGGCATACAGATATAAACGAACGACAGATAATTCCTGACTATTTATTAATTCTATATATTTCGGCAGAAAGTGCTGGCATTGGCTGGTGAGAAATTGATAAATATCAAAGGACACACAAAATGACCCACCTGTGAAGATCCGGGTTAGAATTGATCTTCAGTAAGCCATATGCTTGTCGTTAAAGGCGACTAACGGGATCGGGTGTCAGGCTCGCAGACTTGGTTAATATACACTAAACGCCAAAAGAAACGTCTTCTGCTGGCGTTGTGATGCATGGGCGTCCACTTCTTGGTCTGTCTACGGTGACCCCAGTCTAGCTGTCTGCAGCGCTGAATAAGTCTTACAATGTACAACCGTGATACGGTGGCATCCGAGGGCGTTGGCAACAACATTGTATGTCGACCCCATCTGCACCATCCCAATGGCTCTTTCTCTCTCTTCAGCTGTTACTCGTAGCATATTTCTCGTATTTGTGAATCATACCATGTAAATAGGACAATTTAACTCTTCTGAAAAAGATGCATTTCATCTAAATATGTATGCATTTGAGAATTATTTTCGTGATTTGCATAAAGCTGTGTTGTTCAGCTTTCTTGTAAACTAATACCTTCTAACATATCATTGATAGTTCATAAAGGTAGGAGGATAACGTTTCTTTTGGGTGGTCAGGCTCGCTGACTTGGTTGACACATGTCATCTTATCCCAACTGCGTAGATCGATGTTCATGCTGTTGATCACTGGATTGTCTGGTCCAGACCCGATTATTTACAGACCGCTGCCATATAGCTGCGATATTGCTAAGAGCGGCGTAAACCTAAAGTCACTCACTCACTCACAAAGGGACCCTTTCGTTGCAACTATGCACAATACTTTGATGTGGAACAACAGGTTGCCGGCTACCATTGACTGCATAGATTAATCGAGACGATGTTAAATATTTAAAAACTTTCATTTGACAGCATAGATTGATCGAGACGATGTTAAATATTTAAAAACTTTCATTGACAGCATTTCAGCAGCTGAAAGAGATTAACCACTGACATGCTGGATGCATTTAATCATTTAATATTCCTGTTGATTATAAAATACCAGTAAATATAACCGGTGTTACACACTCGACTCTACTGAAGCTGTTTCAAATTACTAACATCATATGCTGCGTTTCACATTATGGTAATTGGCAGTCTAAAATAATTGGAATAAAATGTATATGACACTTTTAATACCGAGGTGTTTAAGTGTTATAATTGTTCGTTGAATAACTGCAATAAAATAGTGGTCAGGCTTCTAAATGCATGACAAGCAGAATACGACACGAGTATTACTGTTCATTTTATCTAATTTGAATTACATACAAGGAGTAGAAGCTGCAACATAGCAGATTAACATTTTTCTAATAGAATTATTGCTTTTGTATCATGCAATAAATATGGTTGTAAAGATTTCGGATGAGCTACATCTGGTCATGTAATGGCTACCTCCTTCACAACGTCCATGTGGATCCCTGACTCATCATCTCCACGTGTGATGGTTTGTACCCGTAATACCGTCCATATGGATCCCTGACTCATCATCTCCACGTGTGATGGCTTGTACCCGTAATACCGTCCATGTGGATCCCTGACTCATCATATCCACGTGTGATGGCTTGTACCCGTAATACCGTCCATGTGGATCCCTGACTCATCATCTCCACGTGTGATGGCTTGTACGCGTAATACCGTCCATGTGGATCCCTGACTCATCATCTCCACGTGTGATGGCTTGTACCCGTAATACCGTCCATGTGGATCCCTGACTCATCATCTCCACGTGTGATGGCTTGTACCCGTAATACCGTCCATGTGGATCCCTGACTCATCATCTCCACGTGTGATGGCTTGTACCCGTAATACCCTCCATGTGGACCATCATCTCCACGTAACCCGTAATACCGTCCATGTGGATCCCTGACTCATCATCTCCACGTGTGATGGCTTGTACCCGTAATACCGTCCATGTGGATCCCTGACTCATCATCTCCATGTGTGATGGCTTGTACCCGTAATACCCTCCATGTGGATCACTGACTCATCATCTCCACGTATGATGGCTTGTACCCGTAATACCGTCGATGTGGATCCCTGACTCATCATCTCCACGTGTGATGGCTTGTACCCGTAATACCGTCCATGTGGATCCCTGACTCATCATCTCCACGTGTGATGGCTTGTACCCGTAATACCCTCCATGTGGATCCCTGACTCATCATCTCCACGTATGATGGCTTGTACCCGTAATACCGTCGATGTGGATCCCTGACTCATCATATCCACGTGTGATGGCTTGAACTCGTAATACCGTCATATGTTAATTTGAAATGCTGGACGAACACGACATGCTGTCGTTCCTGTTTGGAGGTAATACTTACCCGATTGAATGTATAGAGATTCAAACCTGGACTGACATTATAATCGCATTTGCATCGTTTGTGTATCCCATCAGACAACCACTGTTGCGTTGTTATGATTGGTATGTTTCAATTATAACTCACTTTATTTGTACATATGTATATTTTTTTCTTTATTGTCCATGCTCAATTTTTAACGAAGATCAAAAGAATTCCTTGCTAATAGATATATTGGAGAATTCACAAGACTGATACGATATAATGGATTATACAGAAACTATGGAAATTCCTGGAATGTTACAACTGATCGATTTCGAAAAAGCCTTTCACTCCGTAGACTGGAACTTCATTGAAGAGTTTTTTTGCGTTTTTTAATTTTGGGGAAAATGGATCAAGACATTATATTGTAATATAAGCTCATCAGTATTAGTAAATGGCTTTGGTTCTGACTTCTTTAATACAGAGGCTGTAGAGAAGGGATCCCCTTTCACCTTATATAGTATGACCAGAAATGATTGAGAATTTTAGGAATATGTTTAATTGGATTTCTAGTATAAACAACCTTGACCAGCTATCAAGTGCTTGGTTTCATTCAAGAGAGACAACTCCGATAATCCTTTTTGATAAGTTTGTGAAGAGTTATCCCCTTTGTTTACTTGCTAGCAGACGACATTTTCAGTGCTCCTCAGTATGGATGATTTAGAGAAGAGGAAGTTGATTTTAGAGTGTTATGACAAGGACATCAGATCAGCTAAAGTGATTTCAAGTAGAACAGGCATCCCTTTGTCCACTGTTTATCGTGTTTTGAAAAATATTTCAAATGGATATGACATTGAGCACCAGGGAGGCGCGGGTAGGCCCAGAAAATTGACTGTCATTGACAGGAGGCGGCTTGGTATTCTTGTTTCTAAAAACAAACGAAGGAGTTTAGAAAACTTAAGGCTGGATATGATTGATAGATGAAATGTGGCTGTCTGTAAGGAGACAATTAGAACTGAGCTGCATGCAATGGGTTGGCAGAAAAGTCGAGGAATCCCATCACCGATCATGAAACCTGAACAAAAGGAGCGAAGGTTGAACTGGTGCTTACAGCATAGAAATTTTAACTGGGACAATGTGGTGTTCTCAAATGAAAGTTATGTGTGGCTGTTTCCTAATACACTGAAATTCTGGACCAAACAAACTGAAAAACCTTGTATCAGCACCC